TTTTTTTTTTTTTTTTTTCCATTTTTATTTTGTAATCATCTCGCGACGCATCCCCCACTTTGGGAACCCCTGCTCTAGAGCAGGGGTTCCCAACTTCTTTCAGTCAGGCCCCCCTTGTGTAATTGAAAATATTTTCGAGCCCTCCATCATCCGGTTCCCACCGAGATTGGTAGAATTAAATTGTATATAGTTGTACAAACATTACATTTTCTCTGCTAACAATAACAAGACATAAAAGATCCAACTAGAATTTTATATTTTATTATGGATTGAAAATGAACAAAAGTGCTTGTATTGGCAGATGATCCTGTGCCACTGTGAAATAATGAGGCCTAATTGAAACAATTATAAATACTTTTTATCGATCCGGATCTTTAACAGTATTTTTACAAGTTATTTTTGTAATTTTTTAGGGGAAAAACTAAACAAATTAGAAACAGAATTCACATTGATTAATTGTATGTATAGTGTCGATTATGTACTTATTTTGAGGTACTTAAGTATTTCCACTTTTGCTTCTTTGTAATTCTGCTCCTCTACAGTCCAGAGGTAAACTGTGTACTTTTACTGCACTACATGTATTATAATACCTTTAGTTACTTTACAGATCTGGATGAATGATGTGAAATATAATCAAGTCTTAAATCAGAATTTAGTTCCACCTGGAGTAAATTCACAAGCTACCCTGCACTACTTTCACTTAAGTACTTGATCTGAGTACTTCTCCCACCTTACACGTAATTAGGGCAACAGAACTCCGAGTTAAGGAAGTTGAAAACGGTGCATTTCTCCGTATGAATATGATGCCTTTTGGCCAGCTGGTGGAAAGATTGCTCGTGTTTCCGTGAAAATACTTGTGGCAAACGAGGATTGACCACATTGAGCTCTGTAGATTGGATTGTCACTTTTGAACGCTATGTCCTCCACCGGCGGATCTCTGTGTGCACAGTGCTGCAGCAGTGCAGCGAGTGTGTGAGGCCCCGCCCCCCACAAAGACGAGAGAGAGAGAGATCTCCGCACCGAACACGTTAGATGTCAAGAGAGATGTATGCCTCATCAAACTTTGTTGATTTGGGCATTATAGCTGAAAGGCTTGTCGTGGGCTTTTCCACTTTTCTTTTAACTGCCGGTTGTGTTACAAATGTGTCAATTTAATAGGTTTTACGAGCAAACAATCTTCTTCCCAAGCTTCACGCGCCCCCCACCCCCCTGTAATAGCGCAGCCCCCCAGGTTGGGAAGCAGGGCCTGCCAACCCTCCCGATTTTCGCGGGAGACTCCCGATTTCATAGCCCTCTCCCGGTTTCCTCCCGTGCCTGTGGTCATATTTCTCCCGCATTTCTCCCAATTTCTGACAAAATCAGATTTATTCACGACTGTTTCCACTCGGAATTTAATACAGCTACACCATTGTTTGGTTTCCATTGTAGCGCGTCTCTTTAGTAGCGCGCGCAACTGAAAGTCTAGAGGGTGAGGCAGATAGTCACAGAAAACAGAACAAGAATCGACAACTCAAACCTCTGCTCACTCCTTTCCTGTAAAATACAGGTCCAGCCCACACATATGCTCCATCAAGGATGGTTCGACAGGCCGCAAGGCAGTGCACTTACAACTACAATTAAAACTGCGGTCGCACTTGTGCGCGCAGTGATGAGCGGGCCCTCACGTCCGTGCGCCTGTCGGGGAGGGCAGCCGGTCGTCCCGGCGTCAAGCAGACGCGCGCGAGTCCTCGGAAATGAGTTGTTTGTCATTTCTCAAATTTTTGCGTCCCAGGTCCTCCGGCATCGACCCGGAAACGGATGTTGGCGCGCCGTCTCGAAGGAAAACAAATTTCTCTAAAGGCTCGTCGAGGATCAATATTCGAGGAGGCTGTCTGGAGGTGCCGTAACCGAGGATACACTGATTTAGAGGACAGAGGAGTCTCTCTGGAGGAGCTATAACCGAGGGTACAACGATATAGAGAAGAGAGGAGAGAGGAGTCTCTCTGGAGGAGCTATAACCGAGGGATGTATCCTCCGGAGTCGATTTCAGCCAACAGTGATGTTTAAAAGAGGCGTGACGCATGGCTGGACTTATGTCAACGAAGCACAGCTCTGCAAACTGTTCCCGTTGTGATTATAAGTTATTCAAGATGATCAAATGTGCATCAGACTTTCTGCCCTTTACCGTTTGTTTGTTTACTCACTAATCACATCTCCCCTGGATGTTAGGTTATGCTTTCATTGTGAGGCGATGTTTACAGTGAGAACAGCTGCTGAGGTCAGTGCAGAAAGCAGAACAGTGTGTATAATATATATCGCTCAATAATATATGTAACAGGCCTACATTTCACACTTTAGGAGATATCTACAAATAAACTGTAGATATTTTTCATGAAACCATATAGTGCTTCACATAATAAAATATACAAGGGCTGTAGCCTGATATTTAGTTATGCTTTAGGAGCTGTTTGTGTTTGTTGTACAATGTGTAGATGTGGTTGTGTGGTTGTGTGGTTGTGTGTGCCTGCCTGCCTGCCTGCCTGCCTGCCTGCCTGCCTGCCTGCCTGTCTGTCTGTCTGTCTGTCTGTCTGTCTGTGTGTGTGTGTGTGTGTGAGAGAGAGTTGAAGGTGCAGGTAGACAGGCGGGTCTCAGTAGCTTAAAGGGGACCTATCATGCTATATTTGAATAATATCTTGTAGGGCCATACCTATATAAGGTATATTTATAAGTTTTCTTTTTCAAAATACCAAACAGACCATGCATTTTAGCCATGCCTCATTTTGCCTCACTCCAGCTCTCAAAATTGCCAGCTTTCTGGGGGGCGGGGCTAATGAAAAGCAATTTGAAATATGTGTGCAATCATAATAGCAATGTGTATACAGCGTTTCGTGAATATCGGAAAAACTATATGCAAACAGTTTGGAGCAATTTGCGACATGTAAATCGTCAAAAATGGTGTATTCGCTGTTAGCTTACGACCTCCACGAGTGATTTTTCAAAAATGTGCTCCACAATTAAGTATCATATTGGATAGGGGCTGAACTTGTCCTGGATTGGAATTTTTTCGATCATTCCCCTAGGAGGAGTTGGCAAGAATGTGCTTAAAATGGCTGAAAAACGCACATTTTTCAAAATGGCCGACTTCCTGGGGGCGGGGCTAATGGAAGGCAATTTGAAATATGTGTGCAATCATAATAGTAATGTGTGTTCAGCGTTTCGTGAATATCGGAAAAACTATATGCGAGCAGTTTGGAGCAATTTGCGCCATGTAAATCGTCAAAAATGGTGTATTCGCTGTTAGCTTACGACCTCCACGAGTGATTTTTCAAAAATGTGCTCCTCAATTTAGCATCATATTGGATAGGGGCTGAACTTGTCCTGGACTGGAATTTTTCCGATCATTCCCCTAGGAGCAGTTTGCAAGAATGTGCTTAAAATGGCTGAAAAACGGCCAACTTTTTGGGGGGCGGGGCTAATGGAATCTATTTACAAATATGTCCGCAATTCCATGAGGAATGTCTGTGCCAAAAATCGTGAAGTTCTAAGAAACTATATGTGACTACCACACAATAGGGGGCGCTAATGAGCAGCTTTTTTGAAAAATTACGTTTTTTTTTTTACATTCTCGAAAAGGTCGTGGGCTCTGACGTGTGTCCCAAGTTTTGCGTCCGAAGCTCATTTTATACTATCGCAATTTTAAAAAAATGTATAGGCCACGCCCACATTCTGAATTTTTTTGCAACACTTTAAATCTGAGTTTGTAGTCATCCTGAGAGTATGTCTAACATTTTTTTTAAATAATTAGTCCATCCGCTCTTGAATTATAAATTGGTGGTGTTTTTGGCGCCCCCTATAGTCCAAAATGAAAATGCTTTGGTGTGCCTATTCCCCAAGACAGTCTGAACCTATCTGAAAATTGAAATTTAAGTTGGTTTACCTTGGTTGGTGATTGGCTAATGGTTACACAAGATTGTTATGAAATCATAAAGTGGCCAAAATCTGATCAGCTCATTTTCAGACAGGTTTTAATATAAATGGATCAGGACAAAAAGAGAGAGAATCTTTGTTCCTGAAACTTTCAGAGTCCATTCACACAGAGGGGACACATGTTGATGTAGAAGAAACATGAAAAAGTGGAATTTGCGTAATAGGTAGGGAATGCTCCGATCGATCGGCCGATATTCACTCTCGGCCGATCGATCGGTGCTCTCTATAAAGGCCGACCAGGAGAGCCGATCGCATGACGTAAAATACATGACACTTTTCTCTGTGCGCGGCAAAACAAGCTCGCCAAAATGGCTTCACCGGTCTGGCATTATATGAAGGTGTCCGAGAAAGACAGTAAAATAGCTCTATGCAACGTGTGTGAAGCAGACATCCTGCAGCTCCGCCTGCTGAGACGGACCGGACTCTAAGAGTTAGACCTAACACACTTAGCTATTTTATCTACCTCTGGAACAAGCTAAACTAGTTATACATATATTTATTCTTCACTGTCGGGTCACTCATTACTGGATCAATGAGCTGCATGAGATACTGACGGGCTGTCAGGAGAGAGAGAGAGAGAGAGAGAGAGAGAGAGAGAAAGAGAGAGCTTCCGCTCATGTTATTATCCAAAGTTAATGTAAACTTGAATAATGTACTTCATTAATAATTATGTTGGTTGTTTGTGGAAGCGCCAGTGAATGAGCCCCATTAACTGAGTTTTAAACATCACTTTAAATGGAAGATCCCCATAGGCCCCGCCCACTCGATCGGATCGGCCGATACTGATTCCGGCGATCGGCACCAAAATTGGCGATCGGAGCATCCCTAATAATAGGTGACCTTTAAAGTTACTCACCATTCCAGCGTTCACACAAACAACAGATCTTAAGTTACGATGCTTATTAAGAGTTGTAAGTCTTATGCTGTAACTTGCTAGTGCAAAAATATGTTAAACCAAAAGGCGAAGTATGAAGGCTATCCTAATTACTGTAAAATGAAAACAAATGTGAGTAGTGAGTTTTGTAGCGTTTAAGCCATTCTTCTTTTACTCAACTTGTTTGAATGGTGATATGCACGTAGCAGATGTGTAGGCCTAACAAGTATTATTTATCAATTTGATTTATATATTTTCCTACAGTTATACTAATTGTGTTTCATGTTGATAAAATGAGTGGAGAGAGAGCAACTCACTTGTTTAACCCTTAATTTGAATTCAAACCTTGGTAATAAAGATTATCTGCATGAGCCTCACCATCTAACAAAACATGTTGTGGCAGTTCTGTGCTCTTACGAGTGACGTTAAGCTTCCGGTAAACTATATAACCAAATCGTTATTACTAACTAATTAAAAAAAGGTTAATAAAATGTGTCTCCCCAAATCTTAGCATTTTGAAGACTTTTGAAAGGTTGATTTAAGACATTTAAACAGCAAGGTATCCAGCCCCCTGCTCATATGGAGGATGGGGATGCTCACCACACAGGTTTGGCTCTCTGGGTGGTGGTCCTGATGCGGGGCTTCACGTAGTCGTAGTAACCCTGGTTCTTGTGCTCCTCCTGACACCACACCAGGTCAGCATTGGCATAAAGCTCCGACTCGGCCTTCACCTGGTCGAAGGGGAACGGGGACAGCTGGAGGGAAGAAAGGGAAACACATTTTAAAGTAATGTACCGAACAATTAAACATGTTTTTGGAAGAATTAACTAAATGCTACGACTCCACCGAGACACACATCAACACTGGTGTTAAATTGCCTCTTCTTACTCAAATGTATTAAAATAAATTGTTGTTTCATGGGTTAAAAAATGGCCTGAAATCAGCCCTGAACCTTGAAGTTTCAATGCTGACAAAGTCAGGTCATAAAATCTATATGCAAAAAAGATTATTAACGCCCTCAAAATCAGAGGGGGAGGTCACTGAGCAACTCATCCTTAAACGTCCCCCCCTCATAGGGTGACCAGGTGCCAACAAGCCACATGTGGGACAAAGAGTATGTTTGTGTGGGACATGTTACTGTGATGCTAAGAGGTTGATAAGATTTCAATATAATGTCCATCTAACCCTTGAAAATAAACATTTCTATTAGCTTAAAAATATTTATAGCAAAGCTTTACTATAGGTTGATTTGTTTGCATAGTAAAGTAAAGGCATGATTGTATAAAGCTCTCTGGGAATCGCCCTCACCGGCTATTCAGACAGCCAAATCTGACCGACGGGCCGGGCCAGCAGCAGATCGGTGAACACATTTTTAGCTGTCCACTCCTCATTATACACTCGGCACTCATTGTCGACTTTTCTTTTCTCTGGTCCACTCATTGTTACAGATGCAGGTTCAAAGGGGAATTAGGTTAAAAGGTGTGTGTGTGTGTGTGTGTGTGTGTGTGTGCTTGTGTGTGTGTGTGTGTGTGTGTGTGTGTACCTGTTCCATGCGGGCGATGGCCACAGTAGACTCCATGTCTCTGTTCTTCCTCTCTTTTACCAGCTCGTAGTAAATCTTTCCTGTGCAGAAGATCAGGCGCTTCACCTCCTCCGGGCTCTGCGACGCTAAGCCTCCCTCTGGGATCAGCCTCTGGAACTGAGTGCCTGCAGGAGATACACTGAAGGTCACACTGAACCCTTTGAAAGATTATTTTTATTATGATCAATTATGATTATAATGGTACCAGGAAGCATCATGTCAAAGCTGGATCTGGCTTCTGGGAGACGCAGCAGAGATTTGGGAGTGAAGACAATCAGCTGGAGGGACAAACAGGACGTTTATCAGGTCAAATCGTCATTTCACAACCTAACTGAAGTATCAAGAGTATACAGAGACAGTTTTTCAAAAGTGAATAGAATAGGATAGAAGAAGAAGATGAATAGGATTAGGGGATAGGAGAGGATGAAGAGGAGAAATAGGAGGAGGAAGAGCGAGTGCTCGTATATATTCAGACCGCCATGAGTGTGTGTGTGTGTGTGTGTGTGTGTGTGTGTATGTGTGTGTGTGTGTGTGTGTGTGTGTGTGTCTCACAGGCTTTCTGAATGGCAGAAGGATCTGTCGTCTGAGGACATGGAAGTAGTTTCCAGGAGACGAACAGTTCACCACGATCCAGTTACAGTCGTAGAGCTGACGCACCGCAAAGTCCTCTGTGAGGCTCTGAGAGAGGGGGAGAGGAATTGCTTTAACAATCATATACAAAAGAAATACTTGCAACATAAATAATTAAGCCTTAAAGTATAGCTGCTATAGAGATTCCTCTTCAGGCTGTACATCAGTTATCCATCCTAAACTCTTGGTAATGACGGGTTGCCGTGCAGCTGCGATGTGATTTTTGAAAATGGTGTCTGACTTCGTCTTGGAGAAATTACCTGCTAGAAATATGCAGAACAAATCTCACATGTCCAACAACGTATGACCTGCAGCAGCGATTCTTTTGTCTTAGGAAACTGTCCTATTTTGACATTGACAATACCACGACGTTCACGTTTTATCGTGTCAATTCTGTCTTTTTCTTTAATGTCATGGTTTGGTAACTTGTCCTAAAGAGCAGAAACTCTCTCAGTGAGATCATAATGAGATGCAATGTCTAAATAAATGAGATATTGAAATTAGCTGGGAAAACACATTTTGAACTAGCTTTTAGATTTTTCAACTCATTTATTTATTAACTTTCTGGATTACTCATGTTTGTACAATTGGTTTGGAAATGTTTTTTGATATGATGGAGCAGAGGGTTCTGTTTTAGAGATTTGCTTGCTACCATGTTATTTTGGAATTTGTGTCATAAAGGATCCCTTGTCTTTTACCTGAAAACAAAATCTACCTACCTATAAATAAATAACCTTCCATATTAAAAATAAACACACATAATGTTAATCCCTTCAGAAATCTGAATAGTGAGACGGTGATCTCGTCCCAATGTGGGATTCAGGTACGACAGGGCCTTCAGAATAGTCGTGGCACACATGTGACATAAGCAGTTATATTAAAGGATTCTGAATAAACTACAGTACCACACTAATCGTACAGTGGACGGAGGAGCAATATGTTACAAGGCTGATCACTAACACCAGCACTTACAATTTGTCTTTTTGAAGTGACTATATCTGCACTTGTCTTGTTGTTCTGAGTCAGTATCTTTATGGTTTATTGCACTGATAAAAGCTTCAGCTAAATGTAATGTTATAATAATAATACTACTACATGGGATTTGTATAGCGCTTTTCCTAATGTTCAAAGAAGCTTATGTATTAAAAAGAGGACTGTTGTGATCTCAAAGTGCTCAGAAGCCAAAACAGCAGTTTTACCGGCATGACGTCGGGGTCGTCGTTGCACATCTGGAGGAATCTCTCTGGACGAGCTGAAGAATGTTCCGGACCCTGTGGACACAAACAAGCCATCACACACTTATACACACGCTACACCAGGGGTGGGCAAACTTTTTGGCTCGGGGGCCACTATGAGTTTTAAAATGTAACAGACGGGCCGGGCCAGTAGCAAATCGGTGAAAAAATGTTTAGCCGTCCACTCCTCATTAAACACTCGGCACTCATTGTCGACTTACAGATGCAGGTTCAAAGGTGAATTAGGTTCAAAGGTGAATTATTGCGTCATCGTTTACGTCCTGACGTAACCGTTTATGTGCCTTCTCATGACCCACACAGCGTTTTACGTCGCTGATTTTCTCCGCAACACCGCTCACAACAACATCAATAGAGGACTGCGTCGGGTAGTTTTTAATCATACGAAGCCAGATTCAATTAAAGAACTTCTCCAACCATATACCTTTCTCCAGAGTGCCGTGGTGCATTGTTTATTAATGTGGTTCAGCGGGATTACCGCCCGCTGCTGTCCTGCTCATGCACCGAAGTTTAGTCTACTCTACTGTTAACTCGCGGCAGCGGCCGCTGTAAAGTCTTCACTGTCCGACTGTCACACAAGCAGCTGATAAATATCCCCCTTCCCCATCAGTGAATGTGTTTCAGTGAGAATTGACGCTGTTTGGCATCTCAACGCTGTTATGAAAGTTTCTCTGGCATTCTACAGGTGATGTTAGCATAGCAACCAAAGCTAATCAGACCATCTTGACTACTTGTTGCAAAATAAACAGAATCACACTAAGCTGGTTAGTGTTGCCTGACTTTATATAAGTGTTTTTTATAAGTGTGTGGTCAGGTTCTAGTCACCTTTCTCAGCGCTACTGCCTGTTACAACTTGTATTCGCTGTAGTGTATTAACCGTGTTATTGCTCAGGTTAATCTTGAACCCCTCCAATGTAAGCGTGACATATTTGGTTCTTAGATCTTGCCGGGTTGCCGACTCCAACAAAGGTCAATTGTGTCTAGAGTGCGCCATCTAGTGGGATCAACTGAAATGCCGGGTATTGCAGGAAAAAGGCTAAATGAATGTCTTTTTGGACAATTTTGTACCAATATTCGGCGGGCCGGATTCAAAAGCCCAACGGGCCGTATATGGCCTTAGTTTGCCCATGCATGCTCTGGATGCAGCTTTAAAAGTCCAATGTCATGCTTTTCTGGTTATTACCCGTCCCCTTGTGTGTTATGAAGGTTTTTCTGTATGTAAACGGTCTGCAGAGTCACAAACCCTGAAAGTACACCCTGTAGCGAGTAAAACTCTAACACAGAAAATACTATGCTGCCCCAGAACGCCTCGTTGGAGATTTCTCTTTTTCCATTTGTTTCTTCTTGGGTATAGTGACGTATTGGGTATAGTGACGTAACAACTTCCTCACACACACACACACAATCTTTTCTCAGCTGCAGTTCCGCGGATTTCTCAGCCTGAGACAGCGGGACGCGGCCTGAACACAATCCACTGGGTTTCGCTCTGTCTCACAGACCCCAAGCAGCAACCAGGAAACGACACCAGTAAGCCAGCTCCATAGCCGCAGGAAGTCATTTTACTTAAGGGGTGCGGCGAACTGTGCTCCAGCAGTGAGTCTCCCGCAACGTCCCGCCAACACGGCACCCAGACCCCACGCAGCATTCTCATCTGTTTGTCATTACTGGTGTCATTTTCTGGTTGCTAAGGCCATTGTAACACATAATCACTGATGTTCCGCTGTAACGGTGGTGGACTCATCAGAACAGAGTAGGCGAGCTGACCAATCAGAGCACACTGGGCTCATAGGGAGGGGGGGCAGGAGCTCCAACAAGCCGTTTAGGACAGAGAGTGAATACACATACTATACAGAGATGCTGTATGAGAAACCAATGTGATTTTGGAAAATTGCACAATGTAAATCTACTTCAGTAGACCTCAACAATGGAATTATGATCAGTAGAAATGGCCATGACATGGGACCTTTAAAGTTGGATGAAGGTCCTGGTATCATATGAAACATGAGGAATCCATTGGTACCAGGTCCGGATAGCTTGTCGGGAGGGGGCTAAATAACGCCCCTACATCTGGTTCAATGCTGGGGAGGGAGAACTGGCAGGGCCAATAGAGTGGTGCAGGAATCATTTACTTAAACCCGGAAACTAGTTTGCAATGAATCTTCCAGTTCCCTGTTCAAGTCAGCTTTATTGCGAAATGTTTTTTGTTAGATGCCAGAAATAAGGAATTAAAAATCACAATTTTTGTTGATATGTTCCTCTTTATGATAGGAGTTAAACAACTTATATTTTCCACTTAAAGATCACGGATACATTTAAAGTATTACAGTGACGTATTTAAAAATTACGTCTTAAACATTGTTGTTATTAATGCTAGCCTGCCATTTTATTTAAAACATGTTTATAATTGTAGTTTTTTAAAAACATTATTGTTGGGTATATTCTTCCAGTTAAATTGGAATTAATGACTGATTTCCTTTTGTCTTATCACTGAACTTATATCTTTTTTGCAATATAGCATAGTAAAAGTATTATTATATTTATGTTTATCAGCCTGTAGTCTCAGACATAATGTCTACACCACGCACGTACGCGTGCGTGCGTGCGTGCGTGTTCCTCACCATGCCCTCCATGCCGTGCGGCAGCAGCAGCACGATGCCGTTCTGCCGGACCCACTTGGCCTGCCCGGGACAGATGAACTGGTCGATGATGCACTGGGCCGTGTTGTGGAAGTCTCCGAACTGAGCCTCCCACAGGATCAGAGCGTTGGGACTCGCCATCGCAAAACCCAACTCGAAGCCTACAGACACACACAACAGAAAATATAGACATTTATGCTGTTAATCTGCAGACAGAAGACTAGTCCAGTTTTCCTATATTCATCAGTGGTGAAAGAAGTACTCATATGTTGTACTTAAGTAAAAGTAGAAGTACCAGAGTGTACGAATACTATGTCACAAGTAAAAGTCCTGCATTGCAAATGTTACTTAAGTAAAAATACAAAAGTATTGTGTTCTCAAAGCTGGTAAAGGTGCAGCTAGTTTGAATGACTTTGTATACTGCAGGGTAGCTTGTGAATTGACTCCAGGTGGAACTACAGTCTGATTTAACACTTGATTATATTTCATCATTAATCCAATTCTGTAAAGTAAGTACACGATGCATCTGAATGGTAGTGGGGTAGAAGTACAAAGTAGCAAAATAAGAATTAAATACTCCAGTAAAGTACTAGTATCTCAGTGTACTTGAGTAAACTAAGTACCTAGTTACTTTACAGCACTGATATTCATGCACACCGTGACATGCCTTTTTGCCCAATTGAACCAGTAATTCAATGATAACTATGTTTTATTTATTGAAACCTATAGCCAGTGAAGGGCCTGCTTACATGCCCACAGATTCAGTGTAAACACCAAATGTGGCCTTGGATGCTCGGATTCCTTTTGTGCAGTTAGCACGACAGTCGTAATTATGGAGCTAATTTCCTGCCATAACTCCTCAAACAAACTGAACACGTTTTACAAATGCCTCACTCACAAACACAGTGTCATGTTTCAGAAACAAATACAGCACAGGTATTACAAGTGCAGTAAGAAGTTTTCTACAAGTATAAACAAATAAACACTAGAGGCAAAATGTCTAAAGAAACAACATTCAAACAGAGGGGGTTGAGCAGAGCAGGTAACAGCCCCTGCCAGTCTGATGACAGCCTCTTTCGCGATCCGATAACAGACTTCATTTAACAATATGTTAAATATCTCTCATTGTCTGGCCTTAGAGAAAATAACCTATGCTTTAAAAGGGAGGGTCTGATATCTTTAAAAGAATATGGGGGGTTGGGGCCTCTGGTTATGCTCATGGTGTCCAGAATGAGATAATTCGGAGCTTTATGTGCAGCTGCAGAGGAACAGTGAAGCCTCACCGAGGACTCCGTACTCGGACAGCGAGCTGTTGCAGACGGTGTACGGCGCCTGGTCAGGAGCGAGGTGGTTCATGGGAATGCAGATCCTCTTGTCCACGTTCTGATCGTGGAGCACATGGTGACGGTGGCTGAGAGAGGACGACAGGTTGAGTGTGCAGGACAACATTACAGAACTGTGTCATTTGATCTCATACTTTCTCTCTGTTCTCCACTGCAGGAAATCAACAATTGTTTATTTGAAGCTTACTTGGCTGGTTCTTACTAACGGAAGAATATTTCATTTCAATCTCTTGATTTGATCATTATAAGGAAATAGATACCAAAGTTATTAGATCTTAACAATGACTCCCTACTTCTGCTTTAAGCACTGAATGATTTTTGGGAAGTGGTAAACGGTAAACAGATGGTGTACATTGAGGATAACCCAGTCCTGCCTGGGGAAATAGAGGTAGACATTATTATTATTCCCTTGCTTCACTAGGTTTTAATTACAGGTGTGACTGCCTGAAAGGTCTGCTAAATATATGCAGCTACAATGAATCCCACATCACTCCATCATGTGTAGATCAAGGATACCAATGATTTGGTTTGAACTTGAAGTGATGTACTTTGATGGGAGATTAGAGGCATCCTTTCACAGGTTATCAACTGTTAAAGGACAGTTTAGTTCTTAGATACATACACATCTATTTTGATGTTCCTGGACATTGTGAGACTGGTTTTTTTAAGCAAAATTACTTGAAATGATCTCTAAACAATTGTAAATATTGAAAATATGTTGGACAAAGAAAGTTGGAAACAAAAGGCTGCTTTACACTCACACGAGGCAAGTATGGTACAAAAAGCGGAAATGTTGGAAACTGTTAATGTACTTCATCTAAGGTTGATTCAATAAAAAAAAAGGGTGATACTTTGTTTTTATAGATGCAAAACAATTAAAACATTTTATATTCTGAATCAGGATAGTTGTCTGTATGTTGAAACACACTTCTACATCTAATACAAATCAGCTGTTTAATTTCCTCCAGAGAGAACCTAACCCTCGACTAACTTTCTGCTCCTGAGCCGAACAAAAATGTGGTCCAAGAACTCACCCCAAAGCGGGAGGAGAACATTAGAAGAGATGGAGGTGATGTTCAGATGAGGTTCTGGGTAATTACCTGAAGGTGCCTCGCTCCACGTCCTGCCCTGACAGCCTGATGTGGGTTCCCTCCTGCAGCAGAGATCCGAAGGCCATGTACTCTCCCAGAGCCCAATCCACTGTGCGGTTACGAATCATCTCGCCGCGGCTTTTCAGGATACGACTCAGACCTGAAACAACAAAGCATGATCACTGAGGGTCAGAATACAGTCTGGATGTCACCATTCATATGATTTTATAAGATTAAAGAGGACATATTATGCTCCTTTTCAGCTTCATATCAGTATGTAGTGTCTCTCCTGTGACATGTCTCCATGCTTTAATGTTCAAAAAGCTCTTTATTTTCCTCATACTGCCTGTGCAGCAGCACCTCTTTTCACCCTCTGTCTGAAACCAGAGCCCAGTCTGCTCTGATTGGTCAACCGCTTAGAGATGTGTCGGAAATGTCCCAACCCTTTAGCACATGACGTGCAATGTGTTGGAGCGCTAACCGAGAGCGCAATTGTTAAACAGTGATGTCATTATGTTACAGAAGAAAACAATGGAAAACTCTATTTGACGTGAACCTATGCACATAATAGGGCCTCTTAAAAAGATTAATAATAATAATACATTTGAGTTCCAAGTGCTTTATCTAATGTTCAAAGACACTTTACAGTGGTATAAACAAATACAAAGTTGAATTAAAAATGGCATTATATATATATATATATATATATTAGGGGTGTAACGGCTCACAAACATTTCGGTTCGGTATGTACCTCGGTATTTAGGTCACGGTTCGGTACAGCAGAATTTTTTTCCACAAAACATAAAATATCTTTTTTTTTTTTTTTTATTATTATTAAACTGTGAATATTGTATTCACTCAAATACATACAAAATATAATAAAATAAACATTAAGGTGCAACATTTCGATGAACTGAAATAATCTGTATTTGAACTT